TTTTTATATTTTTTTAAAGATTGCCTTTTAGTTTAATAGCTTAGTCTTTGATTACACAAATATATCATAATTTGCCTAACCAATACACTATCAAATATTTATCTTTGATATAGTTGTTCACTATTTAAATGAATATCTTTATACACGCATCTTTGTGTACATCCGTAATTATTTGTATATTATAAGATCTGAGAGTAGCACTGATTAGCCCAAGGCATCTTTATAGTTTTTGTTGCCTACTGTTTTACCTGACCACCAGCAGGCATGTTTCCTGCTCCCCCGACCTCATGAACTAACTCCCCACACCCTCCTCTGTTGGCACTGGGGATAGTGGTAGGGGTTTTATTTTGCTTTTAATTTGTGGAGAAATATTTGTGCCCTCACTGTTAGCATCTTTTAGATACCAAGGGAACAGGAGACTAAATTCTTCTTTATCTTAACTCAGAAAAGGGTAGGACAACAGAACACACCTGTGTGTAATAACTCCTAAAAATAGGAGGGTCTGGCCCAATGCCTCTGAATATAGTTGCAACCGCAAATCTTCAATCTTTGCAATTCAGGACCAAGTCCAATGTCTGTTCATCAGACCTCAGTGCAGATTAGTTGAGTGAATGAAAGGTATCTGTTTGTTATAGTCATAGCTTCCTCAAAATATAAGGAAAATAATTAAAATTAGGGTGGGATCTGGAATTAGGAACATTTACTACAAAAAACCCAATCATCTGCACCAAAACCATGCCTAGTCTTATTTTTCTAAGGATTTGGCTTTTCTAAACCTATGGGGTTTTTGTTTTTTTTCACTCACCAGATAAACAAAGGCAAGATATTTTACATTAACCATATCAGGGAAAAAAGGGCTACCTGCATCATGCTAATGCTACAAACAGAAATCTAATGCAAGCAGCATCAGATGAGGACGAAAACCTTTGGAGAGCAGAGCCCGACAGCATGGTGATGCCACGTAGCTTACAGCCTGTGCCAGCACTTCCATGACAAAAATCCTATAATCCGCAGCCGTAGCAAATTGAATAAATGACTAATAATTAAGTTGTTGTCCCTTACTTAGTCCAGGAAAATAATTTAAAAATTAAATCATACATGTAGAAATGAGGGAGTTATGCCACTGGCAATGTTGATCAATTTGGAATTTACAAAGGATTCCCTACAGCCACAATCCATTTTTCTGTCCTTATCTGAATTTCAGTATTTGTCATTGTATTGTACTATTGTGGTTAGTTTTGTTTTTTTAAAGAAAACACTCTCTTCTAACATTTAGAATCATAAATATCAGAGTTAAAAGTATGCTGAAAATAGCCTAGTCCATAGCCTCTAAATTTAAAAATAAAGAAACTGGCCCTGGCTGGTGTGGCTCAGCTGGTTGGAGAATGAGAATCGTCCTGTAAACTGAAAGGTCACAGGTTCAATTCCTGGTCAGGGCACATACCCAGGCTGCAGGTTCGGTGCCCAGTGGGGCATGTGTGAGGCAAATGATTACATCTCACATCAATGTTTCTTTTGTGCTCTCTCCCCCCAACCCTCCCCTTTCTCTCTAAAATTGATAAGCATGTCCTTGGGTGAGGATAAAAATATATTAAAAAAAAATAAAGAAACTGTACCTCTGAGAAGTTATAAATAGCAGAACCCAAGACTATGGAAATAATGACTTAGTTCCATCTCCTCTCAAATGCTATTATAGCTTTGCATTTGTATTATTTATATATAGCTGCCTTTTATTAGGGGTATATGAAAGTATTGCATGTACTGAATATTTCTCCCTAGAAAACAAAATGTTACAGTGTCCATTTCTGTTAGGTAAAATCTTACAGAAACAGAAAGCTAAGTTTTTGCATAAAATTAGATAAGGTCATTTAGATATTAGAAGACAACATGATGAAATCTTGGAGCTGAATGTATTTTAAGTATTTTTTAAGTACAACCACTTTTACATGCAAAGTGACCACCAAAGACCACAGAGGCCACCCAATTAGAAGGGCAGACACAGCATTTCATAACTCTTGGCTCAAGGCTTTTTCCATCATATGAAGCTGGCTTTTCTATGTTATGGTCTGGTATAGCCTCTGGTATTTTTAAGGTATAAAAATCTGAGATGTTATAAAATCCCAATTTATGACTATGTACACACTGTGGCTCCCTATGCTTTCGGTCATCTTCCAAAATCTAGTAGGTCTACCAATTTCAAAAGGCAAGACAAAAATACCACAGCCCTTATGGTAGAAGGTGAATTAAGTACTGAACAGGCAAACAATCTGAGGGCACAGGCCTCCCTGTCACTAATGATCAGGCAAAACTTGCCCTTACTCACTCCTTCCTGCGGCCTCTGGCCACTTGTCAGAATCTCTCTGGCCAGGCTGCACTGACTTGGGGCCGGGTTATTCCCAGCTCATCCATCTGAGGGTGAACACCCTTACACTGGAAGTTCCTGAAGTCACACGCTTTGGCAATACAGCATCAGCCTCCTCCTCTGCTGCCATCTGCGGGACTTCATTTAAGCTATGTCCCTCTTCAGGCCTCCATTGGCTCATGGGAGAAATGGCTGCATTCTCTCCAGCCTGACAATGATATGGTCTATGATTTAAGGGATAGTTCTTTTCCTAAAGGCGAAGCAGGGGGTGAATTCGGGTGGCCTCGTAATACAACACATTTGAGTCCTGACCCTTCTTTCTCTGTCTCTCGCCAGCCAGTCAGCCTGTGGGCGTGCAATCACATTTTAGAGTGGGTGGGAGAACATTTGAGTAGAAAGAACTGCATGATCCCCAGACACAGATGGAAGGGCCAGACAGAGATGGGCAAAGACGGAAAAAGCAGAGATGCTCAGGAACAACGCGGGGGATGTGGGAGGAAGGGCTGACTCACTGCTTTCTATGAGAAAAAACACTCTTAAGGTACTGGCTCAGTCCTAGATTTCATCCTGCCAGGCCAAACGTCAGCGAAGTGACATAAATGCTGGATGAAATGCTATCCATTCGTACTCTGCTGCTTCATTACACGGATTTGGGGCAGGTCTGTAAAAAAGATTTGCTCCAGCCGACCCAAAGGATGGAGCACACAGCGGAACTACAGAAATCCCCTCTGTGCGATGTCCGGGAAGACTAGGCCAAGTTATGGTCTCAGCAGCGAGGCATGTGCACGGGCTCTGAGGTCACCATCTGGAGCCAGAGTCATAAATGCAGTTTCCTCACTGTGACCAAGCTCAGCCGGCCGCCGTCTTCGTCCTCCTCCTGCTGCTTAGGTCGCAGCACCGTACAACTCTAGGGCGCACTCTTCATGTTTGTGGTCGCCATAAATCTGCGTATTTATTATGGCAGTTTTCTGGCAGGGGGCAGTGCAGGTTTGTAAGAAAGGGCAGGAAAAAGATCGTCGGAGAAGTGGCAGGGCTGCTCCTCCCAAACCCACACAAAGGTCCACCACAGCCTAGAGGAGCACATGGAACCTACGCTTACTCACCTATGCTCTTAGTAACTAAAATGCGGTGATGTCACCAGAGCGCTAGTCAGGGTCCCTACATACTGCACTATTGTCATCAAAATGACAGACAACCTGAAATAAGGAAAAATATCAATAAAATGTGAGACCTCATAAGAGTGAAAGTCCATGTTCCAGCAGTGGTCACCTACAGAAATTGTACTGTCAGTCTGGAAAGCCTCGAGAAGGCAACAAAGGCAACAGACTCCCTCTGAAGCTCTTGGTGTACTTCCAGTGGGCTCTGGCAAGCCTCAGGTTAAGGATAAACTTCCTCAGGGTGATCACCATACACAAAAAGGGGGAGACTCAGTCCAGTGTTCATGCACATGACACAAATCTGGAGCCTTGCAGAAGGAGCGAAGAACTGGATCACCAGTGAGGATCAGAAATGAGTTCCCATCTGTGCTTCGTCTAAATAGGTCACATTGAATGGCTCCTTGTAGCCACAAAATGCTAATGATTTCTCCTTAGTCTAAAAAACTGTATTTTTGATGTTCTTTTAAAAGTAGGGTTTCTTAAGGTATAACTTAAAAAGAGTAAATTTCATCCATTTGGGGCATAATTTTATGAGTTGGAAAAATTCATGAAATCTGTAACTCCCCACCACCGTCAAGATACTAAACAGTTTCATCACCTGCAAATCCCTTCATATCCTTTATGATCAATCCTGGATTTGATAAAACTGGACTGTGTTTAATATAAATTGTAACATTGTTTAAACTTCCCCTTAGATATTTACCATATTTCATCAATTCTAAGACACATATACATACCACCCCTCCTTGATTTGAACACTGAAATTAGGACGCATCTTACAATCAATGGCATTTTACCCTAATTGGTAGTAATTTTTCTTCTTGGAGATACATAAAATAATGTGTTTTATAATCTATGTTGTCTTTTTAAAAAATCAATGAAATATATTTAAGTCATAACATTTGAATACTTACTATGGGTTAAACATTTTACTAAGCCCTGAAAATACAAAAATGAATCAAATGGTCCTCAAGGAACTATCACTTGAGAAAAGGAGATAAACAATTATAATAAAATGTAATAATGTCTACCGTGCAGGGTTATCCATTCGCTAGGACTAAATGAAATTATCTCTAGACTGGCCATCCTTCTTCTTTCAAGCATAACCCCTCCCTTCCCCCCCCCCACCCCGCCCCAATTCACATCCTTCCGCGAACACAGGAAATAAGGATGAAGGAAGTATCATTCGGCTTCACTGCTCATTCCAGGAATGAGTCATTGCCACACCATCTGACACATCCCCTAGGAACAATCCAATTATTTCTTCCATAATCCACTGTTGTCATAGGGAAGTCTCATTTTAGTGTTCAACAGCTGCAAGGCTTTTATGATAATATCAAAAGACAAGTCACTGAAAATAACTGCTTAATCTATGATAGGCAGATGCCCCAAATCTTTCCTAGACATGCTTTAAGGTCCCCAAATTCTTCCCTGCACAGCTTTTAAAGGGCAACGTAAAGAAGGCAATTCAGTGTCCTTACCTGGTTCTTGAAAGTGTTCTTCACTTGACAGAGTTCTAGACAGGACAAGTATTAACGCTTCTTTAAATTGGTCAAAATGCACCTAAAAAAAAGCAACTAAAATAAATTCAAAATAGCTTCCACAGTCTTAAGGTAACAAATCCATTTACATACAAGGTGCCAGAGCCAGCTGTCAGCATTCTGAGAGCCTTGAAGTAAGTCACAACCTGCTTTTGTTCCCTTTCTTTCTTCATTTCTCTGAAGTACCAGTAGGGGTGTCCACCCTGCAGCCCATGGGTCGCGTGCGGCCCAGGATGGCAATGAATGCAGCCCAACACAAAATCGTAAATTTACTTAAAACATTATGAGAATTTTTTGTGTGTGTGATTACGTGTCACAATGTGTTTAACGCATGGCCTAAGACAACTCTCCTTCCAGTGTGGCCCAGAGATGCCAAAAGGTTGGACACCCCTGCAGGAAAATGGGCTAATTATTTCTGATACCACAGTGTCACAAATGCTAATATCAATATTAATATTTATTCAATCCTGAGGGCAAAAGCTACATGGCAAAATCTTCTTTATAAACACAGACAAAGATGTGTTTTGAACACTTCTTTTAGTTTCCTGAACAAGATCAGAAGAGAAAGATGTTAGGTTAGACATTAGGAAAAGCTTCTCAAGTCAATGATCTATGGTAATGATGCCCCAAAGATGCTCTCATCTCTCAAGATATTCTAGAAAGAGGTTATCTTTTGAGGATGACTTGAATATAGCCTTGCCTGTGGCAGGTATATAATATTTATCTCTATGAATGTAAAAAATAAGCAGAAATCAACAGCAAACACAAATGATAAAAGGACCTTGGAAAGCATTTTCTTGAATTCTTAAAATCATAGTTACTTTGACTTAAGTAGGAAATAACCTGAGTTTTATTTAAGTAAATACTCAGAATTGAGATATCACTTTGGTTAAAGGGGTAAAATGGTTTTCTTTATCGCCAAGGGTACTCTTCTAAAACATAAAGTTATGTGATCTCACTGTGGGGCTGAAGGGAGAAATGGTATTTCTTACCATCATTCTAGCTCAATGATGTGGCATCTGTTTATACAGAAGACCATATGTAAACACAAAGTTAGTAAATTTGTAATCTGTGCTGTTATGAGTCTCTGTGGATGTCATTACAAAACAGTCTGTAGAAGTTTAAATATAGGTATCAGATACAAAACACTATCAAATTAAAACTGGAAAAGCAACAAACCTCATTAGTTATCAAAACAATAGAAGAAAAATCATATGTCTTAGCCATGCAAATCAAAGCAAAGGAGAGGAATCCACTGAGATTCCTGTCATAAAAGTGTATGTACTTGCAATTTACCAGACTCTCCCAAAGTACATGTGATTTCCCTACCACATTAGTTGTGTTTAATTGGAATTACATTCCAAAAGCATATTTCTTTAGATCATGCACAGTAACAATCAGCATAATCTACAGAACCAGAGCATAAATCTGTCAAGGGAGCCAGGGCCATACAATCAACAAAAAGGTTAAAAGATTGTGAAAATGTAAGCTGTGCTAGTTAGGTTTCACAGGTGACAATTGGCTGAGAAGCCTGGGAGAGGGAGGAGGGGCAGGCGCCGCTGTGTCCCAGAGTCTGAGGTGGGCTTCAGGCACTGTGGCCTCCCAGCTCAAGTTCCCAGGGGCCGGCCTCTTTGCAGCCAGCCAGTCCACAGACCTCACCCACCCAAGGGCTCGTGGGCTCAGCAGCACTTCTAGGCACTTCCTACTTCCTGCCAGAATCGCGCCTCCCGGGGGCGGGGGTGGGGGCAGGAGAAGGGCTAAGAGCGCAAGCTCTGGGTCCTGACCCTGGTTCGGCCACTCACTTCCTTTTGTGAGCCGGCTAAGTTGCTAAACCTACCTGAGCTTCAGTTTGCTCATCTGTAAAAATGGGACTATCTAACAACTCATATTTATGATTCTTTCAACAAACACTCATTGAGCAGCTGCTGTGCACCAGGCACTGTCCTAGGTCCTGGTGACAGAGCAGTAAATGAGTGACATAGATCCCTGCCGCCATGGAGTACAAGTCCTCAGGAAAGGCCACAGGGAGCCAGGCAGGTACTGTGCAAAGAGCAGCACATGTATTTTGTCATTTATAATACCACATCCCTCACAGCTGAGTTAGGGAGACAAAATGAGAGTTTGGTCAAGTGTTTAGAATTTCCTGAGACTTACTAGGTATGTAGCAAATGGAAGTTAACATTACTAACAGGTACAGTAATTGAGGTGACTGTTTCCACCACTTTTACGGAGAAACAAGGCCACATTCTCAAGCAAAGCAACTGGCCATGAGAGCAACCCAGACAGGTGAGCGGGAGTGTGTGGTGGGGGGGCGGGGGGTGACAGCAGGGAAGCCCAGGAGCCTGCCTGGCCCCCAGGAGCTGTGCAGCTGCCCAGCATCTAAGAGAATGGTCCAGGCTGCTGTGCTTGGGGACCCCCAAATGTGTGTCTCCCCTGTCTTTTTTTCTCCCTGTCTTAAGATATTAATGGAGATGGCCTGAATGAAGCCTAACTCTCTTGTTGCCACAGTTAGGAACTGACCAGAAGGAGGCTCCTGTTTCAAAAACTGTTGCCCTGAGACTTTCAAATCCTGTATAGTTGCCTCCAGGGTTTCTGCTGGGTCTCTGAAAGATGGAAGTTTTGATAGCGGTAACTGAAAAGAGCCCTTCTGAATTTTGTCCCAGCAGTCCAATGCAGTGAGTGTTAGCCGTGAAAATCACCCAGGGGTCTCTGTAGCTCTGTTCTGCTCCCCCTGAAAAGTGGCAAAAACAGCTATAGTCTGGAAGTTAATTCTAATCAGCTTCCAAGACTTTATTATACCATATTTAAGGGATACTTAGGCCCCACACAAACACACCAACTTCTGGGACAGTATTATCCTCATTTACACAGCGGTTATCTTATCTCCCAGCCTCAGTGATCTCCAGTACAATAGACCATCGGCAAACACGCCAGTGGCGTCCAAAGCTGAGGACAGCATCATGAAGCCCACACAATCCTCTCATAGAAAATGCCACAGAACCAACTCAGAAGCTCTTCATTCTCACTCGACCTGATTTATTTTAAGCTTCATTATCCTGCTTCCCAACCTGGTACAGATTAGAAGCAGCAAATAAAAGATAGAGGTGCTCCAAGGCAAGTACAAGAAATAATTATTGACATATTGGGGAAGAGGAAGACTATCCTCCCTCTAATAAAGTATAAAACTTTTGTGCTTGAACAAACTATTTTTAAAAACTATATAAATTACATGTAAAAAGGCACATGCCCTCAAAGACCTAACAGGCTGGGATTATTTAGTGTTAGGTCAAGGATCCATGTGCTGCTAAATAAATCCTGAGGGCATCACTCTTATAGAAGAGTAAGTGACAAACCAAGAAGATTTAAATGAAAGAAAAACCTTATGTTTAATGTACTCTTTGATAGGGTAAGACATAAATAAAAAATTTTTTAATCCCCAATGGTTAACCTTAAAAAAAAAAGGGCCACTTATTAAAGTAAGAGATTCAGTTATTAGAAAATTTTATTAACGTGAATCCTGATTAATGCTAGATGAATCAGAGTATTACTGTACATTTTCCATCCTGGGCATTTGGTCATTTGGCTCTCACAGCATTCATGCGAGAAGGTCGAGGTAAGTATCCCTCCTTAGAATTGTCTGGAGAGGCTCAGCAGAGGCCCGAGCCTTGCCCAAGGCCACATGTCTTAAGGGGAAGGAATTGCCGGAGGACCCAGCCCTTCTACCTGGACACATTAAAGTGCAACCACTCTGTGGGCCTCAGGCTGCTAAGACCCTGGTCTGACCTCTCCAGGAAACCCCTCTGCTGCTCCTACTCAAATCCTCAATTTGACACAAAGCCACTAAGTATAAAGCAGTCCACTGGGGCTTCAGAGGATACAAGGTCAAGAGATACACAACCTCTGCCCTCAAGGAGTTTACCCGCTACGCTCTAGATTCTAGGGTGTGGGAGGGTGGAAAGGAGAAGAAAAAAAGAAAGTTTCTTAGTAACTACAAGGCAGAACCTGGTGTGTTCTCAGAGAGACAAAAACGAGCTGGTAGGACCTCTGACAAATGAGCAACCCCTACCTGGCCAGTGGGGAGGAAAACAGGGACATTTGATGACATTTGACTTCTCCAAGATATTCATAGGCTGACCTTAACGTTTTCCAAAGTGGACTTATAACGTATTAAATTTGTCACATTTTAGAAGAAAATGGTCCGTAAAACACTAAACATGATTATTAACTCAGAGTTCTTCATAATCCAGCAATGTCTATCTAGGTGACCCCTTCCTCCCCCACAAAAAGAAAATCTAGAAATGCAAAAACGAAAACCTGGCAAACTGATCAAAACCACTGGAGCAGCGGGGGAAGGCAAAGTGGGTCAAAGGGGCCAATCACCTGGCAGCAGATGGAAACTGGGCTTTTGGGGGTGAGCATGTTCCGGTGCACACAGACAGTGAATTATAATGCTGTACACCTAAAATTTATATATTTTTAACCAATGTTACCCCCAGTTAAAAAAAAAATTGGAACAGCTTTAATTCTTAAATTGATCTTTATTTCCCTTCTTGCAGGGGCATATAGACACCAGACCCTCCACTTTCAACAGCAGTAAATTCCATATCTTTCAAGAAGATAGTTCTCTAATAGAGGCAGGTGACTGCTATTTTCCATCAATGCTCATGAATACTAATGTGGCAGAAAAGCCCCTTAGGGCACAACCCAGAACCAAAATGTTAATAAATGCCCTCTATTGTGAAGAATCATGCATCAGCAGGCTCACTAAGTTCAGTAACTAGAATTTTAAAGTGCCATTTTTTCTCTTCCAAGGGAGTTTTACTATTGAATTATGTTAAAATTTAGAAATCATCCCAAATATACAATGCAATTAAATCTCACAAAGTAACAAGCTCGCGCGCTGTGCATTCCCTGGCTGGTACCTCCTCATTTGAATAATAATTGCTGCCATTCATTTTACAAGCATTCCTATATCTTGTATGCCTCAAAGGGCAGTTTGCAGCAATGGGAAAATTACATGAC